TGAGAGAGAGAGAGAGAGTGTGCGCATGTTCGTCTGTGTTCACTGTGTGTGTGTGTGTTCACTGTGTGTGTGTGTTCAGTACTCAATGCTGTGTATGTTCACTGTGTGTGTGTGTGTGTGTGTGTGTGTGTGTGCACTTGGATGGGTGAAATGCAGAGCATAGATTCTGAGAATGGGACACCACACTTGGCCACACGTCACTTTCACTTTTCAACACTAATAATAATTCTCAGCGCTTGCGTCCTAAACTGATAACAGTATCTAGTCAGCGTTTCCATGTGACGTGTGCATGTTTACTCAGATGTGTGTAACGTGACATTATATCGAGATGATGGTGCGGTACTTACTCTCAGCTTTGGACAAAGAGCAGTGATTGGAGTCGATGAGCGTCAGCTGAAAGTGCTGCAGACACACAGGAGAACGAAGCATCTCTCACATCTCTCATTACCAGACGGACATGTTAACAATTGATGAAGGCACTTTAAATGCCTGCATATACTGCAGTTCATTAACTCAAATCAAAGAGTTTAAGCACAAACACACAGCAGACACATCCAGGAAACTGAGCTACTTCTAGTGAAACTTCAGTTCAAGATGACAGTCAAAGCACAATCCTACATTAAAAATGAATGACACAGAATAAATAAATGACAAACAAGCAAAAATTCATCTAATACTAAATGTGCTGCCCCTTCGTCTGAAGCATAACGGCCGTTTAGATTGACAGCAGCTGTCCAGACTCAATGGGACATTATAATTCAGCCGCATTCACGGTCTGTCAACAGATTTACGTCATTCATATTTGTCGACATGTCAGAGATCACATCAGCATGACTGACTGCAGTTGCTGTGATGTGTAGATGTTTCCATGTAAATCACAGAAATTCACCAACATCACTGAAAACCTGCCACACAGACACAGATGCTCGTGTCGTACCTTTAAGCTGGACTCGTAGTCCGTGTTGACTTTGAACATCAGGCCGAGACGCAGATGAATCTCTTTAGCGCGAGAGAAGCCGGGGTCGATGTACAGCACCTCCTGAAACGCCTTGATCGCCCTGAGAGCAAACAAACCGCAATTAAAAACTCACTCCTGAACAGCACAAAGCGTGACCGGCATGTCAGCGTGTAACGGTGCTCCTGAATAAGACTGAATTTACTGACGGCAGGTAAACGCAGACGTGCGTGGATTAAAATGTGAGGAATCTCTCCGAATCAGCCTGAATATTGCCATGGAAACCGTCCGCCCACACCCTGATGCCCATCTGAGCTCGTTAACCTCGTCACATGAGCGCTGAAAACGAGAACATGACATTATCGTGTGCAGATACTCACCACTGAAGAGCATTGAAATGGAAGTAAACCATCCCGAGGCCGTACAGAAAGGCAGCATTCTAGAGGAAGAGAGGACGCAGTGTTTGAGATTCAGAGCAAAAATAATCAGACATCCACATTCAACGAGATCGACACACTGACAGGATCAGCCAAAGTGAAAACCACACAGGAAGATCCCAATACAACGGTCAATCAACACACACAGATACACACAGTGAACACACACGAACACACACACACACAACAATCACTTTTACATGACCACCTCTGAAATCATGAAGAGCAAACCAATATCTAAGCAGAACTTATATTTAACCCTTCTTTCTCCAATCTCTGAGCTCACTCTTTCTTCACTTTATTTTTGGATGATGTACAGACAGCATATGCAAACTCTGTCCTCTTAACAGTGTCCGGCTGACCACTAACTAAACAGCCAATACAACGGTCAATCAACACACACAGATACACACACGAACACACACACACACACTCACAACAATCACTTTTACATGACCACCTCTGAAATCATGAAGAGCAAACCAATATCTAAGCAGAACTTATATTTAACCCTTCTTTCTCCAATCTCTGAGCTCACTCTTCCTTCACTTTATTTTTGGATGATGTACAGACAGCATATGCAAACTCTGTCCTCTTAACAGTGTCCGGCTGACCACTAACTAAACAGTCTGATCACAGGACCTGAGTGAGGACTAGTGCTGGGCGGTATGACCAAAAATTTATATCACGGTATTTTTCGAAATTATACCGGTTTCACGGTACAAGACGGTATTTTGCTTTCATGCATGACCGGGTGTACAGTGAAAAGGGACCCCTTTCAAACAGTGTCGCGTTCCCAACGTTGTTTAAGCGACATACACCGGTATTGCGGTATTTTAAAAATTCATATCATAACAAAAATAAACACCAGTATTCAGTATGAACCGGTATACCGCCCAGCACTAGTGAGGACCACATCAATGTGCTATAAATCACACACACACTTATGTTTGAATTCATCAGCTGCTCACCTTCCAGTAGTCTGATTGTAAACTGTAGTACCGCTGGTACGCCGATAATGCTGCAACACAAAAACACAGGCGTGTTAGCTGAAGCTCCTCAGAGGCTCTGTGGGTCAGAACAGGGCATGCGGCGTGTGAATCGCTTCTCGGCACCTTTCGGATACTCCTCCAGTAAGAGGTTGAAATGACCCAGCTGGCAGAAGAACTCGGGATCCACTTTTCCTTCAGCTTTCAGGATGAGAGACTCGTAGCAGCGAACAGCCTGTGCGAGGAAACACATTCAGCGTTACCATCTCACACACCAAAGAAATTAATAATACAAACTAATTATGAATACATCATTCTTCAATAAAAAACTTCTGAAAAAGAATAGTGTGACATTTAAAGTCCCTGTAAAGTCAATTCTGAGAATTGTTTCTAAACGCATTATAAATGTTACAAATGTATTGCTGAGACACGTTACAAAGACTGTGAATTCTGTAGTACTGAATAGTGGAGTTCGACCGTTAAAGACTGTGAATTCTGTAGTACTGAATAGTGGAGAGTTCGACCGTTAAACAGTTTTTCACCAATTCTGTGTTCAGGATTTTTTTGGGCGTTCCTCTGAATTGGATTCTGGCTCTGGAGGCTCAAACATGTATGGCTTTGTAAATCCAATTAAGCTGCTAGGAGCATCCATTCAGGCTGTATAGCAGGATTTGACAGTTATTAGGCGGCAGCTTTCCCGCGAGTGGGCGTGGTTTCAGAGCAGACAGTGGACACGCCCCCAGCATTTGAGAGCAGAGGATACCGCCCATTTTTTCGAGATTTTGATAACTTATTTTATGGAGGATCTCCGGAGGTCAGCTGGTCGAGCTGCGTTAAACAAGCACTCATGATCTCAAACCACCTTCTACATCACAGCAGTAACCAGAGAAACGAGGAGCATGACGCTGTTATTTTGGTGTGCTGACTACGGTTCTGCTGAGCACAGACAGCGCAGGACATCACCGTGCAACTCGCTGATCCAACATTCCCCACGAGTCACCGGCTGACCTCAAGCTGCTTTGGCAGGACGCTCGTAGCGTCCTCCTATGAGCCTGTTGACCACAACAAAAACGTGGTGCACACACATCTAAAATAATTTGCTATACCATATTTTCCGGACTGCAACTTGCGTTTTTTAATCTTCTGAAACGTGCTATTAATTATTTCCAACGTGACTTATTTAATGCATTAATGTCAAATAAGCAAAGCGTAAACACTCATGTCTGTTTGACAAGTAGAAAATATCGCTGAGTTTTTCTTCATTTTAGTAAGAAGTTCACATAGACCAAGACGGCAAGCGCATTTTGTTTTCTTTATTTTACAAAAGCACAATGTTTCACTGTCATTTTGAAGGTACACAAATAAAAACAGACCGTTTTGAATGATGTCTTGCTCTTATCTGACGGATATCACATTTTTCCACTGATATAAGGAATCCAAAGTGTTTGAGCTGACGCCTCCCGCGCGCACACAACAAATCAGTTCTAGCATTGCAGCTTGACATCACAGCCTCATCATCAGCAAACTAAATTTAACTTGTCTGTTGTACAATATTGTAGGTTTTGCCGGTCAGCGTGAGCTTTTTTTTTAGTGTGTAAGGGATGCTGTTTGTAGATATTCGGACATGAGAGAAGTACAAAGCCTTCTTTACATAATAAGTAGCCGAATAAAGCCCACTACATGATTATGTTTCAGTTTTAGTAAGTAAGTTTAGTTTGTTATGGACACAGCCATAGGCACCGATTTATTTTTCTGTAGGTGGGTGCAAAAAACGAGCATTTATTTTATTTAATTTTTTTATAAAACATTTTCACCACTGTTTCTACTAGTAAATGATAACCGGGCTAAGTTATCATACACATACGCTAGGCTTGCCGCGATAGACGGTGCTGACGGTGATACCGGTGTTAAGCCGCAACACCGGTTACGTCACTTGCCCACCG